ATGTATTACTAGAGATAAAAAAGGGCATTTCAAAATAATAAAAGTTCCAATTCCCCAGGAAGTTATAATATTCTAAAATTATATATATATATATACACACACACACATAAATTCAGAATTATAATCAGAGAGTTTAACACACTTCTCTCAATATTTAAGAGAACAAGCAGACAAGTCAGTAAAGATACAGAAGATTTAAACAACACAATCAGCAACTATAACCTAATGGACACGTATAGGACTCACAGCTACTAACTGTACATTCTTTTCAAGAACACAAGGACTCATTTCAAAACTCAGCCATACATTCTGCCATAAAGCAAGTGATAAATGACTGAAATTATACAAAATACGGTCTCTAACTACATTACAATTAAGCTCAAAATCAATAATAGAAATACGATTAGAAAGCTCCCTGGTATTTGAAAATTCAGAAATATTTCTAAATAATTCATGGGAAATCAAAATGCAAACTTAAACATTTTAACTGAATGATAATGAAAATACACACATTGCAACTCACAGGACAAAGTAAAAGCTATACTGAGGCAATTATTTATCATTGTAATTGCATATATTAGATTATAAGAAAGGTTTATAGTCAATGAACTCGGGAACCATCTCAAGAAATTAGAAAAAATATGGAAAACTAAACCCAAAGGGAGAAGAAAATAAAGATAAATGCAGAATCTAATGAACTAGAAAACAAATATAAAATAAGAAATAACAAAATCAAAAGTTGGATTCTTTGGAAAGAGTTATAAAAGTAATTTTTAAAAAGCTCTAGTGAGACTTAGCAGGGGTTGGGGGGGAGGTAAAACCAGTCAGTGTCAGACATGATAAAGAGACATTACAACAGAATGCACCTTTATTAAAGATCATAAGAAGATATTATAAACAGTGTCATGCCAAGACATTCAAAAATTTAGATAAATGGGTAAATTCCTAAAAAACACAGTTTATCAAAACTGACACAGGAAAAAATATGAATCTTTACTAGTCCAGTAACTATGAAATAAATTGAATTCTTATTTTAAAAACCTTCCCACAAAAAAAAAAAAAAACCCACCCAGGTTTGGAGGTAATAACCCTCAGAAACGCAGGCACACACACACCAGCGCGCAAGCACAGGGATGACTGCAGCAGCACTGCTGGCTCAAGCCCTGAACTGGGAACAAGCCAAGTGTCCATCAAAAGTGCAACAGAGAAACACACTGTGTCATATTCAGAGAAGATGATGCTACCCGGCAATGGAACGTAGCGACTGAGGCTACACGGAACAACACAGGTGAGTCTCCCAGGTGCAGCACGGGGTGAAAGAAGCCACTGCAGGACAGAACGCGCACTCTGTAGCCAGCTTTATATGAAGCCGTGAAAACAGGCAAAACTAAACTTTAGCTTTCAAGGGCGTGTTTTTTCTTTTGGGTGGGTGGTAATTAGGTTTATTTATTTATTTACTTACTTATTTAATATTTTTTTTTGGAGGTACTGGGAATTGAACCTACAACCTTGGGCATGCTAAGTATGCGCTCTACCACTGAGCTCTACCCTCCCCTCAAGGACATGTATTTTGATGGTAAAACTATATTGAAAAATCAAGGACATTTTAGAGGAAAGTCAGAATAGTGGTGACCTGTAGTGGGGCGGTGGGGTCAAGGCCAGAAGGGGGGAGAGACTTTTCAGAGTGCAGCACAATTACATTTGTTGACCTGACGGGTAATGACACTGATGTTGACTTTGTGATAAATCACTGAGCTATAGATCTTTGAACACTTTTCCATGGGTATGTTTTATTTTACAGTTTGAAAAGTGATGAGAGAGAGAAAGGAAGGAGGGAAGGGGAGGAAGGGAGGAGAGAGGGATAGAAAAGAAGAGAGGGGTGGAGGGTGAAGGAAAGAAGACTTGTGGGGGACTAGACGTCTATTAAAGACAGAGGAAAGGATTGCTGAAGACACTCCACTGAGCAGGGACTGTAAATGCAAATGCGCAGAAGAATCAGGCGGGGCCGCCATGAATGAGGTATATTGCGGGGACGGGGAGAGAAGCCCACTGACCAATAGTATCTACGCTCGGTGTCCATGTCCAGGAGGACCTTCACCATTGGTGCAGAGATGGTGCAAAGTGCAGCGGAGGCACCACCGGTCAGAGGACAGCAGCCTCTCAGTGCCCGAGTGGGCAAAGACCCAGTCCCGCCAGCCCTCCATCTTTTCAAGATGAGCAAGATATCTGGGCTTTCCTGTGACTTCCCTGTTTCTTCATTGTTGATCACGAAATCAAATTATTTTAAATATTATTCAAGTCAAACAAAACCCATTTTGTGTTTCAGACAATTTCCGTGGGGTTTGAGACCTCTGGGTGAGCCACTCAGAATGCGGCGTGGAACCAGTCACCCCGGGAGCCTGGCTTTCTCCAGCAATGCCCATAACCGTCCAGTCAGCCGACACCAGACTCGGGGAGGAAGAATGCAGGAAGGCAGAACAGAGGGACAGGAAATCAAGGGAGGACCTCACTGAAAGGCTTCCCTCCAGGATCCAGAAAGCTGATAGGGCCTCATCCACCCAGAGTCCAGCAAAGAGATCAGAGACTGACAGCCCCTGGGAAGCACAGGGTTGAGTTAGAAGAAGTGAGAGAGGCAGAGAGTTTCAGAATTCAAGAGCTCCAAAAATAAACCTCTGCCTTTTATCACTTTTCTCTTTTTACTTGAGTTGCTCTCAACTCGCTTGCTTTCTTTCCCCCCCCCCAATTCTAACAATTCTACAAGCAGAGTGTGAAGAGCAAACAACCAGAGGTCCACATCCTGGCTGTGCCCCACGGGCCTCAAAGGCAGGCGCACACACGGGCTCTCCCCCAGCGACCCAGCCGTGGCTTCAGCCCACGGGCCAAGGCCACCGGCAGACAGCACGGTGCTGAGTCGGGCCCGGCCCGCGTGGCTGTCCTCCAAGAAGCACTGGAGCAGCGGAAACAGCCAGGAGCTGGCGTCACCAGTGGTCAGCAGTTGGGAGCAGCTGGAGGGAGGAGGGCCAGTGAGCAAATAGCAGAGTTGGGGAAATAAGACTTGGGCTGAACAAAGTTCACTGTTGTTTTCCGAGACACCGGGGCCTGCCTGAGCCACCCCGGAGACCAGGGCGAGGAGGCAGTGGACTGAACGCTGGTCTCAACTTCTAAGGCCCGGAATGCTTGGCCACCCAACGGTGACCGGGGCCACTGCTGTTCCCCTCGGGGCAGAGGGCAGGCGGCAGCTTGGTGTGGACCGGGAAAGAGGGACAGGCAGTCAGAGCAAGACCAAACTACAGAGACAAAAGGCAAGATAAAAGGAAAAACAAGAAGAAGGCCATTGGTGCTTTCCACGTGCTGTGCAAATTCACTTAAATTCATCTCCCACGAATTACTCCATCTTGAACATTTAGAGCTGTTCAACCCTGCACGTACCTACCTCCTGTAGTGAGCTCTCTGTTTCAGCAGGGTTGGGTCAGAAGCTCAACTATTTCCTATCAGAAATTCTGCTAAAAAGAGGAGAGGCTGGGCTAGCTAACGTCTCACTCTTAAAACTGTCATTTAGCAGAATGGGATAATGATATCTTTAGAATAAGTGATATTTTTTTCTGAGTACCCACGTGTCACTATTTGAAAGGCATTCAGACAAACCAGATTATTTGCAAGTAGGTCTGGCTATCTGCAAATCCACTGACTGAAGTTCTCAGGTTCGAAACAAGGTTTGTTTTAAGAAATTAATTCAGATACTAGTTTTCCTGAAAAGCAGTGAATTCAAAAACAGTGAAGAATAAGACCTTTTCCTTTTTAAATTCTATACCTTTTACAAATTGTTTCTGATAGACCATCTGTTAAAAAAAAAAAAACCTCTTGGTAAATTAAATATTCTAGGGAGTCATTACTATTTTTTGAACTCAAAGTACTTTTATTTATCTAATAGCTGAAACTCCTATGCTTTTACATATTTGCTTCCCTGCAACAACCAGCCCTGTTCCTGAAACATAAATGCTGGTTGAATGAATCCGTTGCAAAGACACAGCAGAGAATCAGTCCACTTCTGCATATTGGCAAGAATAATAAAATTTTGAACGCTTCCTCTGTGCTAGTAACTAGACCAGCAGAACTTGCTATCGGCTAGTGACTGCATCAGATCCCCAAGATGCTACTGCTGTGATTGTTCCCATTTTACTGATGATTCAACTGAGGCTGGTGAGTGGTAGAGCCAGGATTCAAGGCCAGGTCTGTTCCACTCCTGAGCAGAAGTTCTCAGCCATCGTTTTAAATTGAATCTCAATCCTCTGTTCTGTGGATATATTTTTAAGTGTCACATTTGGTGTGTTCAGCAGATGGAAACTGCAGTGTGGCCCCGTGTAGAGGGACCACCGGGCTGAGAAGGCCGGCTGCCCCTCAGTGGGTACACACCCTGCCCCTGCCCCAGCTGCTTCTGCTACGGGCCTGCAGCCTCCCCTCCCCCAGGCCCTAAATCACTCTCCAGCCCTTTGTTCTTCCCCCAGCTGCTCAGCAAATTCCTTCATTTAAAATTATGATCACAGGTTGGAGTGCTACTTAAAATAATTCTGCCAAATGTTCCATCTCTCTGCATTGATGAATATAATGGATGAAAATTTAAAGACAAAAAAAAATTAAGGATTCGCTTTGTCAAAGACACACACATGAAAAAAAAAAAATCATGGGCCGCATCCACGGCATTTGTTGGAACCTGAAGGATTTTCTCCCACAGGAAGCTGCCCAAAGGCTGGGCTTTCGCGAGCCTTCGGCCTGGTGGGGCTAGTGGGCTGCAGGCAGGTCCGGCCTGCCCCAGATGGAGGGAGCAAAGGTCAGAGCGGCTGTTAGGTTTGTTTAAGCATGAGTCAGAGGCGGAGTGGGGGCCGACCCTCGGTTTCCAATTTCCAATTTCCTGTGCAAGTCTCCCTGTGCGAGGCACTCCTCCGGCCCGGCCAGCCTTTCATGCGCACCGCTCTGCAGAACAAAGGCGATCCAGAGACACATAAATAACCCGGACGGGCCTGGTCTTCCTTCTCTGATTCCAGATTTCTCTCTCGAATTCGGGAGGGTTCCAACACTGAGGGAGGCAAGGCACGAAGGCTGACCGCCGCAACCCGCGGCTGGATCATCTGAGGCCTACCGCGCATGCGCCCGGCCTCTGGCCTTCCTCCCCTTGGACCAGCCCTGAGCGCTGAGCGAAGCCTCAGGCCGGCGCATCCTTTAGGCTGACCCACTGCTCAGGGTCCCCGTGGCTCAAGGGACCCAGTAGACGGGCCACAATGAGTCACAACAAGGGGCCTGCATCACACCGGATTCTGCCAATCAGGCGCACCCCACTTAAGACGTTTCCCCCATTTTCTGAGGCTTCCTCTGTGCTGGCGAAATCGGTGTGGAGATGAGCCAATCCTGCACTCTGGGGTGGTGGTGACGGTCTCGCTCAAATTCTCCAGACCAAAAAAGCCCTCGCAACAAGGAGGCACTTCAGCCAGCAGATCCTTGCGCTCAGACCTGCCCCTGAGCTAAGATTCCAGGGACCCATTAAAGAATACGTTCCCCCAGGGCCACCCTCAAAGCAGACTTTCCTGGGGTGGGGGAGGGTAGGGCTCAGTGGTAGAACGTGTGCTTAGCATGCACGAAGTCCTGGGTTCGATCCCCAGCACCTCCATTAGATAAATAAACAAATTAACCTAATCTCCCCCAACCAAAAAATGAAAGAAAACAAAGTAAACTGTTCTCTGAAAATCAGGCCTGCCGTTTATGGAAAGCCAGCGCCTCTGGAAACACCCTGCTCCTTGAGGCGCTGCCTGTTTGTCTGGCGCTTCACCCTTCCAAGACTCCCAAAGGGGATGCCTTCTGCAGTAAGTTTGGCCCACTGAGCTTAAAGGGAGCGCCATGTGTTCCCTCGAAACGATCCTTCACACAGCACACAGCCCTGGGAAGAAATGATTACTCTAGCCATTGAGAGCTAGGAAGCATGAGCTCTCTAAACACCTGACAGCTCAGGTGCAAGGATCACTTTTTACTTGGTTCTGCTTCACATTATTATTTTTTGAGGATCCAAAGTTTAAATTACTGACCTGGTGAAATTTTCTGGCCCAGCTTTTAAAGACTGCTGTGACCCACTCATAATCACCCTTCTGCTTTAGGATTTATAAGACAAAATCCAGCGACGAACAAAGCAAAGAAAATGCAGATGGGAAATCAGAACTGAAAGATAAATGTATGACGTGGCAGACCCGGGACAGACCATCCCCAGACCCATTGCTTTCCCAAGGGAGGTTCCTGTCCCTTTCTGAGCCTCGATTTCCTCATCTGTTAAATGCATATAATTCCATGCCCTTCACCAGAACGTTATGGTGGTTAGAAGAACCTACCCTGTTGAGTGTAAGCAGGAGTCTTTATAGAGGTGTTTCGACCAGACGTAGCAGAAGTACAGTGGGGCAGAAGGAGCGCCCATCTGCAGGTGGGGACGGAAGGGGAGGCATGCTGCCATTCTTTGTCACACCCGCACTCTCCAGAGCTGTCTGCTTTGCTTGAAGATCTGTTACCAGATTCTCTCCGAAGTATGCCCCCACCCCCAGCCCAGCCCAGCCCCATCATGGGCTTCACTCCCAGGCCCTGCCTCGTGGACTGGTGGGGGAGGGGTAGGACCAGCTGGGCTCCTCTCACTCACTGCGCTGTGCACACCTCTCTCTCCCTCCCTCATCACTCTTTGACCCCCAAGGGTGCATGAGCACTTGGCTCCTCCAGCCCCTTTTAGAGGAAAGAGATGTCTCGGGTTCCTCTGAGTTCCACTTTCTACCCTGCTCACCCAGTGCACACAGAGTGCAGCAGCCGGAGCCGCCGCCCAATGAAAGGAGGACTTTATCACTGAGATTGTGGAGAATGACCAGTGCCCAGCAATTCAAAATTTTAAAAGCAGTAAACTCAAGAGACAGTGCATCGCTCATGGCCACCCCTGAGGCCCGCCCACCCTACACCCTCATCTCTTGGGTGACCACCCCCTGCCGACTCCTTCTCCTCCCCTTTTGCTCTTAATACTCTTGTCACCAAAGTGACCTGCATCCTTGCTCACGTCCTCTACAGGACCAAGGAGAGCAAGGCCTGTTACAACTCCCGGCAAGAAGTTATTCCTGGGCCCTTTGGGCAAACAAGGAAATAAAAGGCCCCCAAAGAGCACCGCAGACATCTGAGAAGCGTCCTCGGGGCCTCCTTTCTCTTCCTGAGGGTTTTTTTCTTTCCTCTTTCACAGATGGCTGCACTGAATGAGGAAGTGCTGTCAGCAAAAAGGAGAGGAAACCTTTGCCCCTGGCCACTCCCAGAGTCAGGGGCCCTGCCGGCACCAAGGCAAGAACATCCTTCCCCTCCAGGAGGTGGCCCTGTCCGCGCCTGTGGAAACGAGCGCGGAAGTGCAGGGGGAAGTCTCTTTGTTACTTCAGTTTTTCCACTCAGGTCGTTCTTTTCTTCTTCTTCTTCTCCTCCTTCTCCTCCTTCTTCTCCTTC